CATGTTTTATTTCTTTGCAAGGATCTCATCTCCTCATTCATAGCATCCTTCCACCTGGAGTGAGCTAAAGCTTCCTACACACTGTTAGAAATAAATATAGTAGATAATTGACTTATAAATGCGATATTTGAGTTAGACAAATTCTGGTTACAAACATAATTACTCATAGGGTATCTTGTCTTACTGGTGATATCAGGATCATAAGTAGGCTTAGGGATACCTCTAGTGACACGATCTGACAGAATTCTTTTTTCTATATTAGGTTCTTGAGATGACGATTGGTGTGGTATATCATTAGCATCAACAGACAAATTTTCGATCTCAACATGCTCTAAATCTTCCTCATTATGTGGTTGTTAATCATAACATTATTGCATACTTTCATCATCTCTTAATACAACTTTGTAACTTTCTTTCTCCAATCTGATCTCAATATCAATTTCTTGAGGAACAAAAATCTGAACTTCATAATAATTCTCCCCCTGAATTTCAGACTTGGGGGAAAAATATATCAAGGTTTCATGAAAAACTACATTTATAGTAGTAAACATTTGCTTGGTTTATGGATTGTAGCACCGATATCCTTTCTGGTGATTCGCATAGCCAAGGAACACACACCTTTCAGCTTTAGGAGACAACTTACTTCTCTGATGCTTGTGTAAGTGAATATAAGCAACACAACTAAAAACTCTATGTGTTAGTTCAGCAATTTTAGGACTTACTAATGTATCTGTAAGTGATTGACGAGGTGTTTTATACTCAAGAGACCTGGACGGTGTTCGGTTGATAGTGTATACTGCATATGTGAGAGCTTCTCCCCAATATATTGCTGGCATGTGAGCTCCAATTAGTGCAGCTCGGACCACCTCCAATAGATGACGGTTCTTTCGTTCTGCCACCCCATTCTGTTGTGGAGTACTTGGACAAGATCTTTGATGAACAATTCCTTTGGTTACTAAAAAATGTTGAAGTTCTGATTGCATATATTCTCCTTCGTTGTCACTGTGCAGTACCTGAATTTGTGCTTTGTACTGGGTCTCAATCATTTTGCATAATTTCTGAAATAGTCCTCCAACTTCACTTTTAGACTTCATTAAACATAACCAAGTCATTCGAGTACAATCATCAATAAACATTACAAATCACTTTGAGCCACCCAATGTTGTAACCTTAGATGGACCCCATACATCAAAGTGAATAATCATAAAAGGAAGAGAACTTTTATTTAAAATTAAAGGAAAATGTGTTCTATGACTCTTTGCACGCTCACAAACATCACAACAAAAAGTTGAAGTGTCTACTTGGTCAAATACATTTGGAAATAATTTCTTTATGTAACCAAAAGATGCATGTCCTAGACGCTTATGCCATAACCAGAAATCCTCGCCTTTTCTTACTTCTTGAGACCCTTTTGTTGCTAGCACTTGACCAAGTCTTTTTGAATCTTTTTCTGTCAGGTCCAAGTAATATAACCTTCCTCGCCTAATACCACAACCAATTGTCTTCCTCGTTTGAATATCCTTAAAAACACAAGAGTCAGACCCAAAAATTAAAACACATAAAAGAGCTTTGGTTATTTGCAAGACTGACAATAGGTTATATTTAAGAGAAGGAACAATAAGGACAATATCAAGATTCAAATTATTTGAAATAGAGACAATTCTTTCTCCAATAATAGTGAATTTACTACCATTGACTATGGATATACTTTTTTGTGAGGAAGGTTTAAGATTTTTAATTTGTCTAACATCAAAAGTCACATAATTAGAATATGCAGAGTCAATTATCCTTGCATTATTCATAATGGTAGATGTGCTTATTAAAACCTTACCATTAGAATCATCACTACCTGTGATTGTAACAAACATCATGCATTTGTCGTCCTCTTTGTCAATGACAGTTACAACAACAACAATTTGATTTCTTTTTGAATTCTTCTTCGATGCTCGACTGTGATCCCACCACTCGGGGTATCCTATGATTTCATAGAATCATTCCTTGGTGTGTCCATCCTTATTACACTGAGTACAGTTGTAGTTACCTTTTTCAAAATCTTTTGATTGCTTCGATTTGCTGTGGTGAATTGTTGGCTGTTTCTTTGTCATCATAGCTGTGGAATCAGAAATCATATCTTCTGTTTTCAAGGTTGTTCGTCGGACTGTCTCTCTCCGGATCAGATCTCCAAGGATTTTGAAAGAAAAAGAAAAAAGTTATAAACTTTGGTACCAAATTAAAAAACATAGAACTCATTCTATATTTTATTCATGTTATTTATATATATATATATATATATATATATATATATATATATATATATATATATATATACTATGATCTTATAGTATTTTATTCTAACAAATCGGGACTAAATATAGGAAGTTCTGTTTATACAATATTTTGTACCACTATACAAATCTATAATTTAACTAATCAAATATCTTTATCCCAACAATTTGAATTTCAGATTATTATAAGAATAAATTATTTTTTATTTCAGTCGTTGTCTTGTCTGAATTTTTCATATATAAAACAAATTAAGAAAAAATTTGTTTTTCTTCTGTACTTGTGATTTTTCTATATTTTATATTTTCTCTTTTCATTGCGCTAAAATGCAATGGCTTTTTAAACTAATTTCCAAAATATGTTAAAATACGATAATTATGCTAATATTTACATAGTTTAATTCATATATAGAATTAAATTATATTTTTAATTAAACTTGGAACAGATTGCTTTACCATTAACGTTCTAGATTATAAAACGATGACTTTTAAATATAATAAATTAAGTTAAAATAAAATTATATCGTAACTAATACCTTATAGTTTAAATATAATAATTACATAAATTAGTTTTAAATTTATTTAAAATGCAATTATTAGTTTTAAAATAATTATATGTTTACTTTTTATTCAACGTATCAAGTAATTATGAAATTACTCGTCTAATTATGTGATAAATTAATGGATTCTTTTTTAAATGTGACTACTGGTTTATATATATTTTTTGAACGTGATTAATATATATATATATATATATATATATATATATATATATATATATATATATATACACACACTAAAAATTTAGAATTTTTTTTAATTTTTCATCTAAATACTGTTTTTCAACAAATTGTTCTAAATCTTGTAGACCCATGACATACAACGTTTAACCAAACACATTGCATAAGCGTTGAAATCTTAACTTCATAATCATCAATAAATTCTAAAAAATTGGACTAACAACGGCATAAGTTTAAGCTTATTAAATAAAAAATAAGTTTATTAATAATTATAAATCATTAAATTAAAAATAACTATACTTCAATAAAAATTGTCATTATTATTGCAAATAATTATGATGAAGGTGGTATATTTAAAGAGTGAAAGACTGGAATTTTTGTGAATGTAATGAAACATAAAAGAAATATGGTCTTGGGTTGACATGTCCTTTAAAGAAATTAAAAATATTTTGACTTCTAAAAAAAATGAAAAATATCGATTTAACCATTAATTAAACCTTTCATTTACCGTGAAATCCATTTCCATTAATTTCAATAAATTTTATTTAATTTTTTTCTATTTTTATCCAATTTAATAAAACTTTTTTTCAGAAAAAAATAGGAACTGATTTTCAGATTAACTTTTAAATTAATTTTTGGTTGAACCAATTGAACTTGTCTAATAATAACATTGATAAATTCAATGAATTTATCTAAGGTAAAGTGATTTGTTAAGATAATGAAAAATAATAATATAGTATTTAATAACTTATAATTTATTACACAGATTAGCATAATTCTTAATATTTAATTACCAATGATTATATTTTTTTCTCTACAATAGTTTTTATCAATAAAATAAATATTATACATAATAATTTTTTAAGTTGGGCAGTATTTTGCTTGCAACTATTTGAAATTTGAAAATGTTAATATATTTACCATATACTCTTAATAACCTATAATAATATTTTTATTATTTTATTATTATTATATATATATATATATATATATATAATTTTTATTTAATGAGACTCTTGGATACTCATCTAATAATACAATTATATTAAAAATAGTGTGTCATATCTATGTTCTTAAATTTAGATAAACTTTGAATATATAAAATAAAATACGTTCAAAAGTTAAAATTATCCTTAATTATAATTTAAGCAGAATCGAAATATAAGTACATTTTTAAACAACTCTAGAAATAGGTATTAAGAACTTTCATTTTTTTGAACTAAAAAAATACTCTATATATTTACAATGGTGGAATATCACCACAGTTTTATGTGGTTCTCTTGTTTTAGATTTCGAAAATGTTATATATAATTTTAACTAGCTTATCTAACTCCAAAATTACATGAGAAATTCAACAACACTAAATCTTATCACAAATTGACTCAAATAAAGTGAGAAAATATATAAAATTAAAAGGTAGACTTAGGTAAAATAAAATATTTTATCTTCAATTTAACCTACTTTAATCCAACTCATCACATCACACTTCAGTTCGTCTGATCACTCCCAATTTTATCCTTTAGTTAATGAAAAGGACGGATAGAGTAACTCATTTTTCTTCAAAAACATGTAATTTTAACTTATACGCAACTTTTAGTTATTTTAATATAATTTATGCATGTGGCTTCGATATTGAATGGATACGAGCTCCAAAAATTGTGCATGCTGCTACGTGACAAAATTAACCTAAAAGAACCCAATCACAAAGCAGATGCATACAGAAAGCAACACAATGTTAGCTTCAATCTAGCTTTCCACCAATTTTTCTTTCATATTAATCAGCGTGTAGCATCAGATTCCTGCAACACCAAACTCAATAAAAATATATATATATATATATATATATATATATATATATATATATATATATATATATATATATATATATATATATGATGTGTGGATCACGTTAATTATAAGGTCGAAATTAAGTCCCATTTCTCACAAACAAACTCGATCACAAAAAAGAAAACCGAGAATGAAATTCGCTTCATACCTAGTGATTTTCTTTCTCTTTCTCTTCCAAAGCTCGAACGGTTCCAATCTTATCTCTCAATCCTGCAAGGAGGCCTCGAAGAATGACCCAAATTTGAGGTATGATTTCTGTGTTGCATCCCTTGAAGATGAGTCCAAGTTGCAACCACCACCCTCCAACCTCGAAGGTCTCGTGGGCATGTCAATTCAACTAACCAAGTCCAACGGAACCAACATGGTTTCCATCATTTCGAAGCTCATGAAGGACAAAACTTTTGATCAATACGCAAAGGTTTGCTTACGAGATTGCTTTGATCTTTACTCGGATTCCCTTTCGGATTTAGATGATGCTGTGGTTGCCTTCAAGTCCAAGGATTTGGACACGGCTGCTATAAACTTGAGTGCTTCCTTGGATAACTCTGTTACCTGTGAAGATCAATTCAAGGACAAGAAAGGTGAAGCGTCTCCTTTAACAAAGGAAAACCGCGTCTTCTTCCAACTCAACGTAATATCTCTGGCCTTCATCCAAATGTTTCATCAACATTATTGAGGAAACTTAAACCATGTGATACACAATTATACTCAATATACAGTGGGTGAGTCATGAAATTAATGTTACGAGGTTTCTATAAGCCTGATATACATGTATATTTGAAGCGTGTGGAAAATTTATTACATGTCATAATGATGTATTGAGATTGAAATTATAAAGTGCAAAGTCCTTCCTACTGCAGAAAGGGTATGAAATAGTGAAGTTCGAATTCTTCCTCTCATCTTACACCCAAAAGTTCATTTTATTCGTTCTGAATATGTTAATAATTAGAGTAACTGCAGACAAATTTATATCTTAATAAAATATGAGAAAAGAAAAATAAAATAAAAAATAGACAATAATAAAATTTTACTACCAGAATAAATTATAATATCTTTTTTAAATTTAAGGAAAAAATAATAATAATATTCTTTATCGGATAAGAAAACTCAATTACAATGCAATGGTAAAAAGGAGAAGAAAGAGATTTGGAGTGATTTTCAAGGTAGACATATGATACTCTTTTATAACAAGAAAAGTAAGCACAAATATATAATTTTTCTGGGACTTCTTTTTTTTACATCTCACCATCTCTTACTTGAAGATTTTGATTAAATTAATCCAATCTTCACAATACATTATTACTATTTTCCGCTTTCCATGTTGTTATTACAATAGATCTTCAGTAGGATCGTTTCTATGTAAACTTATCACTGTTAACTGACTGTCATAACATCTGCTAGGTTCTTCTTGCTTTGTCATAAAATATGAGGCAGGATTCCTTGCAATGTGCAAAAAACTCTGATTGTCACAATACATAACAATTTGGTGATACTTGTGCTCGAGTTCTTCCATTATCTTCTTAATCCAAATAGCTTCCTTACATGTCAAGTGGATGTTATGTCCTCAGCTTATGTGATAAACAGAGTTACAACATCCTATAACTTGGATAACCATTTATTGTCTCTCCAATAAAGGTAAATTCATCAGGATCACCTGCAAAACTTGAATAAACATAGAATGTGAAAACTAATTTTGATCCTCCGAAACATAATACAACATCTAAAGTTCCTTTGATAAGAATTCTCTTGATAATACTCATGCTCTTCACCACAATTTGTCATTGATATATTAACCACTCCCATTGCTTGTGCAATGTCTGATCTTGTACCGATCATGGTATTCATAAGACTTTTCACCATTGATGCATACAATACTCGAAATATTTTCATCATTCCTATCTCATTGCTAGGACTCATATTTAAGGATAACATGATAGAAAATGGGGTAAAAATTGGATTACACCCTTACATGTTGAAGCACTGCAAGACCTTCAATAAGTATTCTTTTGATAAAGTCAAACATTCCTATCTTTTATGTCCCAACAAATTTGCATCCCTAAAATCTTGTTTGTTGGTCCCTAATTCTTCATATCATATTTCCTAACCAATTGTGTCTTTAAAACTTGGATTTGAACTTTATTGGAGTCTACCACCAACATGTCATCCACATACAACGACAAAATGATAAAATCACTATCATCAAACCTGCAAACCAAATTTCCTTTTTCTTTAAGTCTTCTGGTTGGAGCACACCAATCATTTCTCTAAGTTCATCTTGAAAAAAAATATTTATATCACCGCTAACAATAATCTTGTGGATAGTGGGATCCATATAGAAAATACCTCTTCACATTGTTAGCATAGTCCAAGAATTTTCCTTTCCCGAACTTTGAAAAACAAAAACTTCCTCTTGATGTGGTACATACATAATCTCCTTGAGTAATAATTGTGATCACTGACACAAAATATTTGCCCCCTCCTAGGATAGTACCAGTGATTTCAATACATCATGATAAACCAAGTTCAATATGTGTTTCCTCTAATACAATTTGACAAGGGACTCCCAAATCTCCCTCATTGTATCATTTATTGTCTACTCGAACAATAACATAAACTATAACTAGTACATCAGGAAATCTCACTAATAGACACACTTACATATTAAGTCTTTCCTTGTCAGAATTTTTCTTAGACATGCACTGTTATGGGTCATGAGCTAACTATATAAGAGAATATGACACCACCTTCAACCTAAAATCTTAAGGCATTATGTTATGGGTCTTTCTCACTTATAAGTTACTCAATTTTTCCATTTCTATATAATATTGGACTTCAAACTCATACTTGAATTCCCAACATTTTATACATCTTATTTTATTTTAAAAGATGATTATGGAACCCAAGGATAATTCATTTCTCACTAATTAAATTAATTTTTGAAATGAAGAGATTATAATCCTTACATGTTATTATATTTGCATGAATTATTGTAGTGATAATAATAAATAACAATAATTATAAGAACGAAGACTATAATGAATTGACGGTGATCAGTAATAATGACAAGTGATAATGACAATTATAAAATAAAAAGACTATATAATAAAAAAATTATACCACAACTAAAAAAATAACTTTCTCTCTTACATTTGTATGTCTCTATATTAAATTATAAAAAAAAAATAAGCCAAAATGATATTATTTAACCCTTTAAAAAAATGGATAACTCTTCAACCCATTCCGTTTCACTCATCCATCATTAATCCGACTTTTAGAAAATTATGAATAAATTATCGGATGAGTTCCAGGCCAACAAGTTGAACCGGCCGTCACCCGATTTCGATAATCATGCATTTAATTAATAAATCCCTCTTATTCAAAACCTATCACGACCCAATACATTTGCTTGCTAAATCAGTGACTATAGTTAATGAGCTAGCTCTCTGGTCATTCACTTTTTAATAATAAAAAGTTAAAATTATCAAAACAAATTAACTTTTATATAGCAAGATAATAAAAAAAAATTAATCAATATAAACAAAAATAAAAATAATGACAACTTTAATAAATTAGGAAAAATTTAGATAAAATAATATAATAAATATGAACAATAATTTTTTTTAATTGGAATTAGTGGAAGGACATACACTAAACCAATATTTTAAATTTTTTTATAAGATGAAAAACTTGTCATTTTATTATATTTTTTTATTATATATAGTTTAAATTTTAATTTATCTTTTTGCTGACATAGTACAGGTTCATGTTTTAAAATCTATGAATCTATAAGGTTAACATTGTGGTAGATGTGAGGAAGAAAATGATTGAGGAATAGTCTTGAATTAAAAGGTGTCTAACCCATCGGAAGGGATAATATATTTTATTTAGATGGTAAGTGAGAAAAAAGCAACTCGTGTGAAAAGTTTAAATTGACTCAGTTGCAGGGTAATGAAAAAGACGAGCTAAGAAAAATGTTCATGCTTTTTAGAAGAGTGAAGTGTGAGGGTAAAACAGCGGGTCGAACCATGTTCCGTTTGGGATACGAAATTAAACTTAAAGTTATGCATGGAATGGGACAACACCAATTATATGAGCATCTTCTATCATTCTTGGAGAATAATTCTACTTGACTTCGACTCATTCCAACTAACAAATGTACAATGCCAAGAAGAAAGCGATTTTTCTATCTAATTGATTTTAACCGGAAGTAGCATATCACACAACGGGAAATGAAGTTAGGGTGTGAAAACTCCCCAACGCACGTTAGAAAATGGGTGCCTGGTGTGGGCCTGGGAAAGAGCATGTTCTAAGTCCCAATCATCCTTATGTGTCAAATCAACCTTAACTGTAACTAGCCTCTTCCTTGTTCCATATCACCCTCGTAAAAGTAATCAAATTCATTATTCCCAATTGTGATCATCACGCATCAACCAAAATCATCGAACGAGAGAAGAGAACTTACGGTGTTTTTTATTTTTATTTTTTATTTTATAAGGAATTATTTGTAAAATATTATGTAGTTTTCCTACGCTCTTAATTCATTATGTAAAACTACTCTACAAGATATTTAGATTATTGATTTTCACAATATAACATACATTAAGATACATGAATCATAGTAAGAAGACTAACATTGATCCATGAGAATCTATTATTTAATCTTTTCGTTCTTCAATCTTCTTTCTCCAATCTATCTCTTTGTCTTTCTTTCTCTTCTCACGTTTTCTTGATGGTTTACCGTGAAAAAAACATTTATTTTATTCTAACTTCACATAATAACCAATAGGTCCTTATAATTTATTAAATCACATTTGAGTCCATCATTATATTTCACATGAGTCACATAATTGAATGAATTAATTAAATTAATTCTAACATTCTCCCACTTGACTCATGTGATGTCACAAAATTCTGTGATTTAATACTTAAGTCATAATGCGCATTAAAGGACCTTACATAAATTGGTTCTATCATTATTCATAAATAAAGATACAGCTATAACAAGAGTCATGACAGTTACATATCATTCAATCGACAGGTTCCCTTCCATGTACCACTATATTATCTCTTTCTCCTTAATATGACTTTATAATGAGAAGTCCATAATAGGTTCAAACATAATATCATTTTAAAAATAATAACATAATTTGCTTTCTTCATCATAATTTGCATGCATATAAATAAAGAAGAAAACACAAATTTCAGAAACTTATACATTAAAGATCTCAGAGTGTGACATAAACATTAATAATAACATTAACATTCAACATTCACTACTAGTAAACATAATGCTCATATTTACTATATGGCCAGCAAACAACTTGGGCGGTAATCCCTTTGTTAAAGGATCAACAATCATAAGATCAGTGCTAATATGTTCTATTGACACTCTCTGTTTTTGAACTTCTTCTTTAACGACAAAGTATTTCAATTCCATATGCTTAGCACCTTTGGAATACTTGTCGTTCTTAGAAAAGAAGACTATTGCGGAATTGTCACAATAAATTTTCAGTGGCTTGACAATGTTGTCGACTACTCCAAGTCCTGAAATAAAATTCCGAACTAATTAGTTTGAAATGTGGCTTCAAAGCATGCCACAAATTCAGCTTCCATGGTGGATGCAGCAATGACAGACTGCTTCGCACTTTTCCATGAAATCGCTCCTCCGGCTAAAAG